TTTTGAAGATCTTTTTTTAAATTTTCTTTAGAACTTTAAAAAAAATTGTTTTATTCAATTGTTTGTTTGAAAAAAATATATATAATTATTATGTCTGAATGCATATATTTAAAGTTCCAAATAAAGGGTTAACATATTTTTAGATTTTTTATATTATAAACTTATGAAAAGTGATGTTACGTTATTTTGCATTTTAGTTGACGATTTGTAATATTGCCCCATTTTACTATCATTAGATTAAAATATTAATTTCTATTGAACATATTGTAAGGCAAATATTAATTAAAAATATTTATTTGCCTTTGTAAAAGCTGACTTATTATTATTTTAATATTCTTTATTTCTTATTTAATTTTTTTTAATATCTCAGCTTTTAATCTATAAATTTCAATTACTTGTTCTTAATGACTTTATTGTTCAGTAAAAACTTGATATTTCATTGTTGCTTAATTAATTTAAGCCGTCTACAAATTTATGGCGGATATGCGGGTTAGATCGGTATGAGTGAAAAGTAGCAACAAAAAATGAAATCTACTGGGTTTTGAATTAATTTTAATGTTTTTTGTACAAATAATTTCGTTTTCCTTCAACTAATTTCATCTGATTACATATTGTGAGGAAGTATATGGAAGTTATGTAAATACATATGTATGAGCAGTGTTTATTTTATCCATAATTAAGAATGTTGTAGCCATGCTGAAATTATTTACCTTTAGTTGTGTGTGGCTTTCCTGATATTTAAATCGTTAATATTGAAACTAAAGCAAGAAAAAGAGGCGGATATTTTTGCAATAATGGCGCGTGCAAGGTTGTCAATTATTGGTGTTTTTATTAAGGGATCTAGTGATAAAAAAACAACTGTAATTAGTTTTTTCAGGGATCGAGTTATGAAGAATAATACATAATTAAATTTTAAGTAATGGTATAATTGTCATTACAAACAACAAGCTAACTTATTTATCATATTATTTGATTACCTTTAAGTTAATTCGATATTTATCTATAGCTAGATCGCTTTTATATAATTTTCTTTATCTAGTTACAAATTTCATAACAATTAATATCAACCGGCCTTAAACCAAAAGTTATCAATACGTTAAGCTAAGCATCTAAATTCAGCAAGCATCTTCAGCTTGCCCTTTCCACTTTAATATTTACCATAATGCCTTACACCAAAAGCGCTAACGACTTATAAACGATTTATGCATATTAATTTGTACGCTCAGCAGTTGTCGCCGCAGTCGCAATCACTTTACCAGCAGCGGCACTGCAATTCACTGTTCACGTGATCTTTCCAGTTCATTGATTTAGAGAAATCGCATGCGTAACAGACATTTACAAGTCGGCTAAGTGCTCGCCGCTCATATGCATATCGTGTAACACGAACACAGAATACGGCATTACAAATGCCGCCGCCGCTGCTGTCTTCACACAGCAATCGATAGCACTATCAAAATTATGTAGAAACATGTAACTTTTCACCGCTCACCGGCATTACGATTTCAATTCTAAGGAGAAAACTTTAATATATAAGAGAAAACAACTTAGCAAATAAAATAAAATGACACGATCAACACTGCATTGGTCGAACAAATTATTCAAATGCAAAGCGGTGGGAGGGTGTTTTTGCAATATATACATATATGTATATATATATATATGTCTAAACTTATATATTAATATATATTATATATATGCATATATATAGTATATAGTATATCAATTGTTTATATTCTGTAACTGTATTAAAGATGAGTGCTACTTAATAGATTTCACTGTACGATCGCCATTTGGAGGCTCTTCCGACAGACAAACAAGTTAGCCGCATGACAGTCGCGGCGCAGCGTTTGTTGTGCGCTTTGATTTCCGATTGTTTCCGGCTAAAACTAGATGTATGAAATGAAAACAAAATGTAAATATATATATATATATATACAGCGTTGGGTAGCGCTGCTGGAATTTTCCGACGTTATTAGTTACAAGTTTATTAGTGGACATACGCGCACAAACATTATATTATACATGCAGGCATATTTATGGGCAATCAGTGGAGAAATGGTGGTGCATTTATTACTGTTAACGATTACAAACGATGTGCTGACATTTGTTGTTAGCGCATTTCGGCGTTTAATAAATTGTGGTTAACTTTGCGTTTTTAGAGAAATTAAAATGTGTTTGTTTGTAATTATTTCTATAAATTATTTCATTACAATTAACGTAAATATGAAAACATTTATGTTGATGCACCATTTCTTATCTCGTTATGTTTGAACGCTACACGTTTGTAAAAAAATTTGTGTGTGAAAGCGATAACAGAACTATAGAATTGAATTTAATTTAAGGGAGGGTGGGACATATACCATATTAAACTGATGTAAGCGCTTGCTACTCGATAGCTATTCCTCTTATTTTTATGCCAGTTGTCTTTTCGATTTACTAATTTTACATATTGATCTCTATTTGCTTATGACTGCCTCTTATTTGTTTGCCAGTTATCTGTTCGGTTCATTAGTCTTAGATTTACTAATTTTTTATATTGATCTCTATTTGCTTATGACTGCCTCTTATTTGTTTGCCAGTTATCTGTTCGGTTCATTAGTTTCACAGTTTTGATCACTATTTGATTATTACTGCTTACTCTATTTATACCAGTTGCTTGTTGGATTCACTAATTATATATTTAAGAAATCTATTTGGTTATATCTGCTTATCCTTTTGATACCAGTTGACTGTTCAATTCACTAATTCCATATTTTTAATCTATATTTGATTATGACTGCGTATTCTGTTTAGGCCAGTTGTTTGTTCGATTCACCGCTTGTCCATTTTGGCTATTTGAGACCAGAGGGGTGACTTCAGAATATTGATAAAATTCTGTACACTTTATAAATATTTATTTTTAATTTTCATTAGCTAACTAATTTTTTATATAGGTCTTCTATTAATTAATATACTTAATATTACAAATAAATATAAAATATAAAAATTATATACATATATACTTCTAATACGTTTACTTTTTTATTTGCAGATCTTTTCTATATTTCGGGTGATATTCATAGCCGTTAATTTTATACGTATATAATTGATGGGAATCACCAAAGCGGAACTTCTTGATCAGTTAGTCTAATCAGGTAAGTTATTAAGATAACGAAAAGTAAATAACTAGCAGCTAATTAAAAAAAAAATTAATTAAACTTTTTAAAAATAGATACACATATATGTGTATAACTTAGAAGACAATAGGAATATCTATATTGTGAACGTAAAATTTATATGCGATATAACAGATCAGACGTAAATTAGTAAAGAATAATAATATTTGAGAATTATAGTATAAATAGAGGATTATTTAGGATTTATATATTAAATATATAAGCGATAACTATACAAAAAAATTAAAAAATAAAAAAAGAAAAAAATAAATAAATAGATAACAAAAATCAGGCTATATGACAAGCGTTCTCTGAGCAAAAATATTACATTTTCATATAAATTGAACTAGATAACTGGAGTATGTTCTATATCATTCTCTATTCAACAATTTGGACAGCTTTATTTTAAAATAAAATCTTCGGAATATACAAAAAACATATGTACAAATATCTATCTAAATCATAGACCCGTTTAGAAGATGATTTTTGCTACTATAAATATTAGGTAGTCGAAAAAATCTTTTTATATTCCTAATAAAATTTTATTTTATTTTTTATTTGTTTATGCAAAAGTTATGAAACTTAGTTTTTATTCAAGTATATTGGATACTAATCAGCTATATCTGGTTTTTGCACACACGGAACGTATCATCACTTCATATTTTATGTATATATTTGCATGTTTATATAAAAAAAAAAGGAAAAAAAACAGAAACGAAATAAAACCCACAACCATTAAAGAAGTTCCCTCAGAACCATCCCACCATATTTTATATGACCGAATTCTTAGTTCCACCTTCGGGTCATATTTTATACGCCACTTATCGCCACTTGAAAAATGTGCTGATCGCTGCAGCAAATTCAAATATATAAAGAGTTTAGTGACTTCAGCGTATCGAAAAAAAAATGCAATCAGTGCACACAAATCGTTTAGTAATAATAAATTAATCGTTGCAAGCGCTAATTTATTTCTTACCAAACGTTATGAAGAATTCTCAAATAAAAAATTTCGATATAGCATGCATAAATCATTTGATTAGCCAGATTCCGATACTTCGTGACTGATGAAAAATAAAAAATTCTTTTGACTGACTTTTAGCATGGCTGAGAGAATTTATTGCTCATAAATACGGCGATTTATAGTATAGTCAAGTAGCTGAATGTTGGTATAATTTTTATTTTTACTTTGACTTTTGCTTAGTTCGAGTGCTCTCACAATAATATATTTATTTTTTAATAATATTATATTTTTTAATAAATGTGGATAGTTTGTTCTGTTTTATTTTGAATTTTCTGCTGATAGCTATATTTATGTACGGTTTTTGCAACATTTTTATTATATGACAGATAATAAAATGAAAAATTAATCAGAGTATGAAATAATATTTTTTATATAGTATATAGATTCATCACATAATTCAATATAAACCATACTACCGCTTTAGTAGAAATATATGGCCTATATATGTTTCTATTCACTATTTTACATCGTAAATCTATTCAGAAATCGTTTATACAGCCAGTTTAGAGCAGATATGTCTTCTATATATGTACGTCAATAGCTTCTTTAACAAAAGCATTACCACTTCTTATAATGTCATTTATATATTTTCATAACTTGTATAGAAATAACGGTGTATTTTGACAACCTCATAAAATAATTCCGAGGAAAAAAAATTCGAACAGTTCTTTCATGCAAATGAATGAATTCTCGATTCACTCTTTGTTGCCCATCTCTTTTATTCTCTTTTATTAAATTGAAATTTACCATTACCAAATATCAGCGCCAAAAATTGGCATTGATATTCATACATATATGCAAACATGTTTATGCATAACTGTAGTATGTCTTTTGCAGTTAATTGCCTCCACTGCCGTCACAGCTGATTGCATTTTGCATTTTCTCTAAAAATAGAATTTTTTAATAGCCATACACAAAGTGAAGGGAATTAAATATTTTTCGGTATTACAAAATATGCTTCATTGCACACTGGAAATACTATAAATGCATACATACGAACGTAAGGTGTACGAAAATAACTCAAGCCTTAAAAAAGTGCCTATATAACTTTAAAAATAGCCGCCAATATCGTTAAATGATGTGCAATACGAAGATGTGTATTTATGTATTTGGGTATATACGAGTATAAGTAACGTCGAAATATTTTTCTTTACTGTTCAGAGCTCAGGAGGTCGCAAAGTTTCGCTGGTTAATGCAACAGGTGCGCAAGCAGTCTTTTTGCTAGGGAGGGATTTCGCAAATTACAATTATAAATATCAAGATTTGAACTGATTAGAAAACTAACCGGACTTTAAGTGCGGGTTAAATTAATATGACAAAATATGACTTTTATTTAAACAAATTTCAGCGAAATTCTTTAATAAAAATAGTAAATTGAGTAGGAATATGTACCTTCAAACATGTTTTCATAAGCAAAAAAAAAAATATTTTTTAACCAATGTAAAATATTTGTTAATAAAATTTAAAAAAAAAAATAAAAATTTGTAAATTTCGTTAAAAATATGATTATATTAAAAAAGATTACTGGTCTTCAGGAATTTTCGTCCTATCCTGTTTTCACGATAGTATACTCGTAAACACCTTATACAAATAACAAAGTGCTTATAAATCAAATATTGTAACTAAAATTCACAAATTCCTGAAAGTTACAAATATACTATATATTTAGCAAAATATATTTTTCCGAATGCTTCGTGGCTTTAGAGAGCTTCTTATTTTTATGGTAAATCTTTTTTTGAAAATATTTTATTCTAAACATTTTTGAAACTCCACTTAAATTTCGAACACAGTAATTCATGAACGAAAATTAATTACTTTTGAAACAATTTGCGCGTGCAGTCTGGGTCAAATTTATTCAGTTGCTCTACTGAAAGCTTAAATGATCAGTTCATTAGCACCTATAGTTTCGTTACTTTGAGTGCATATTAATTTTGACAAAAAAAAAAAAAATACGAAACGACTTGCGTTTGCAGTCCGGGTCAAATTTGATCACCTGCTCTACTGAAAATTTAAATACTCAGCCCATTAATAAGCGCATTTCTGTTAAATTGAGATCATATTAATTTTAATTTTTGCACGCCCAAGCCCAATTTCGACATTTTGCTTAAGACCCCTTAGTCTTTTCTACCTAATATCAACTAAGTTAACCGCTTGCTTCAAATCAATTACCTTACTTTTTTAGTAAAAACTATGTAAGAAGAGTCATTTGACCCCAAAACCCCACTTAGCGTGCGGCCTTGACACAGGTATAGCATATACACTAATAAACTCAAAGCATACAAAGCATTATTATGTCGCTGCAACATGTTGGCACTGCTGGCAAACGTAAAGCAACAATAAAAAGCGAAAACAAAACTGTTGGCAATCGTGAGACGTTATTGCGAAACTTTAATTGAATTGCAATTATCTTTGCCATGGCAAGCGAGCAAAGAAAAAACTGTAAAAAATTAACAAAGGCAGCAAAAACCATCAATTGACCAATAAATAATAATCGCCAACTAGTGGCGGCAACAGCTAGGCAAACAGCAGTCCTTGCCGCAAATTCCAAATTTTTTACCGCAATATAGCAGTTTTGGTATGTGTTTGTTGCGTTGCTGCGCAACATCATCACCGCAGCTTTCATTGTTGCGGAAGTTGCGCATTTGCGGTTTGCAATTTGCAGCATTGCTCCAAAAGAGAAAAAAATTGCATAATTAGAATTTCCATAAGTAGTTTTGTACACATATATGTATGAATGTATACGTGCGCAATTTCTCACATACATACAGACATTTTTTTGCCACTAGCATTCTAATCGCCATGAAGGTCTGCCTTCCCACCGAGTTGCAGCGCGCTTGCTTTCTTTCCACTGCGCATAGTATGCGCTGGACAAACATACACACATATATACATACATATAGCTTCGTTTCTATAATTTTTCTCAATGCCTTTTTTACGGCAACATTTCATTTCACAAGTAGCAAATTAAAGTATCTAACAGCTACCGACAGTCGGAAGCAATTGGAGGTGTGAAACAATGTTATAATTGCTATGTTCATTAAGAAAAAATTGAAAACAAAAAACACATGCGCAACAACAACATCAACTACTTTAAATAAATATTAACTCAATTAAAGGCTAAGTGTTGCTGGCGAATTGGTGCTACTTCGCACTGGCGCTACAAAGGCACCGTGTGATGATGCCGTGGCGGTGTGCTCACACTATGTACCGTTGATTAATTTATGAGCTTTGATAAGATCACTGTCATTTCAACAAATGTCGAATTGTGTTATTTTATTATTTGTAAACAAATAAATTATATATGTACAAGTTTATTACTAATTTGTTTGCTTAATTAATTGCATATTTCCTTTTACTTTGGGGTTCACTTCCGTCGGCACTTGCTCACAATATTTACGAAAACAAAAAAGAAACGTTATTAATAAATCACGTTGCAGACTATTTGATAATGTTCCATATACTTTGTCTGCCGCTATGTTGAGTGGTGCAATATTAATAGAACATTTTTCTTTAGTTGAGTGAAATATATTATTAAATTATCTGTATAATTTTACTATTGAGAAGTAAATGCTAAGACTTTTAAATGTGAAGTGGTGGTTTTATGAAGAATTTCGGACTGATTTCTATTGAAACATTTTATTTAAATTTTCTGATATATTCAGAAGATAGAAATAGTCTTCGTAGGGTAAATAAATAGTAGCAAATAAAATATCAAATTAAAGCATTTTACAATTAAGGGGTTATATGAGTTTCCTCGGGTTAAAAACAGTTCTTTTTTTCAACAGATTAAATTGAAAACTTAGAAAAAAATTCTTGTTGTAGAACTTAATAAAACAATAAATAAAAAAATGGATTTTTTGAAACTCGTAAGCCCATGTAGCCACTTAAAGTAATGTATCATTTTTGTAGCAAAGTACAGTGCTGGTGTTGTCCCACCTTCCCTTGTTTCTTTGTGTGG